TTGATCTATTAAATTATAGATTGTTTGCTTAGTTTTATAATATCATGTCAGAAAATAAGAAAAGACCATTGTACTCAATTCTAATGATTACGAATAATTCAGAAGATTTGAATAGTATGTTGCATGTACTTTTGCATACAATTTCAAATGAAAAATATTTGCTTTTTTAAATAATGAGAAAGACAAACTTTCGTAGACATTAGAGAAAGAATAATATTGGATTTATTGCACAATTGATTTGGGTTAAAGGCACATATGGTCCACTAAGAAATATTGTTGGAAATATTTCAAAAATATGTTTGGACAATATGAGAGTTAGTTGATCCATTGTTGATAGTCTGAGACTATAAGAATAAAAATTGTCAACATTACTTTTTACAAAAGCTTTCAGTTAAAAGTTAAACACTTTATAAGTTATCATAAACAGTTTATAAGAAGGAGTGATTACAACTTACATTAATTCTGGATCAACCAAGTTTGCACATGAAATAATCTTCTATTGTTTCCAATATGTTATTCAGTATCCAATAAATATTTCTTCAAGCTCTTTAATGACACTGTCAATTTTGAACATATTACAGTTCAATATCATATAGTTGCTACAACTGAAATATTTCGTCTTGTTGCTGTTGAAGTCGTTGTAGCGATGTTTTCACTTTCCTGCCCTGAGTCATAACTACAGCAGTTGGAAAGTTATGCATATCGCTAGAAGATGATGGTCTTAATAGTTCTGATGTAGAGGATATTGTATGTGTATTCGAAGACATAGGAAAGGAATTACGTAACTTAGTAGGCACTCTATGTCGCTGTGTATAGATATCATTATCCTCTATGCAAAATCTAAAGAGGCAATATAAAAGATATAGTTGATTAATAAATGAATGTACTACATTTTAGTAACTTATATTTTTACATTCTTTCTTTATTAATTATTGGTAAATAACTTACTCACTACTCCCCTGAGTACGTTTGACTTCTCTTTTAGCACTGGCTATTGAAGAATCCATTTTAGCTAAAAAATCATTAACTGAGCTGTCATCATCTATAGAAGATGCTATTGAAGATGGACTAGAAATCTAAAAATACATTTCATTTTTATATACAGAAAAATAATATTTTTAGGATTAAATTTATAAAAATGATATTTACACTTTGAACTGTATTGTGTTCAGTTTCATTAGGATTATCAATAGATAGTGATAAAGGATTTTCTGAATTAACTGGAACAAGTAAATGTTCCCTTAAGAATAAACTATCAGAAGCCCATAATCTATTGACCCTTCTTATCTGTTCAGTCTAGAAAAATAAAAAGATATACATACAATGATTAATCATAATTTTTAATATCATGTGTAGAAAAAAATAAAATATATATAGAATAGAATAATGAATTCATACTGTAACTCCATATTTTAGAGCAATTCCTTGAAGTGTGTCAGTTGCTGATACAGCATGCTTTATTAAATTTTCAGTTCGTGTAACATGTTTAGCTGTACTACCATACTTTTTTAATGTTTTACCACTATCCCTTATGCACATTCGTTCTTCCATTTCTCGTGCGCCATTTCGTTCCATTTTCAATTTGCTAATAAGTGTAGGCGCTTCAGAAGTTCAACGAACATATCACTTTTTAATATCCACGAAAGAGAAATTCAACTTAAGCGACATAACCACAAATCCTAACAAACATATTTGAAAAATCAACACACGATAATACATAATATATTAGAATTTAGAGTATGAACGTTTTTACAAGGAATCATTGTATAATTATGTACATTGTGGAAAATCAAATAATGATCACTAACAATCGAATATAAACTACAACATGTTCAACAAATTGTAACAACTTTCTAATATACAATTACATTTAAAATAATCAGAAGACGTACATATTACTTTAATTTATATTTCTTGTAATAATCGTATTTTACAATTTTATAAGTTTAGTCACAATAGGAAACTTTTGTTACGATTTTACTGCGAATGTCTGCTCAGCTGATCAGCGTGATAATGTATAGATGTTCTTTAACCTGAATGATAGTGCCAGCCTCGTTTTGATTGGACAGTTAAAGGGCGTTACGCACAAACATATTAAACAAACATTATAATATTTGAACGCAAATGCAAATTAAAAAAGAATGACTTAGCATAATTTGAACATTTTTAGTACTGTTTAAAGTCTACACTGTTAAAATACTCTGCACATGGTTTAGTACACTTTTAAAAATGCGTAAGGAATAAATGAATCGCTTTCTTCGTTGCTTAATCTTATTATATAACTCATTTCGCTTAAAAAACGCGGTACTAGATATTATTTGAAAGAATGTGATAAACTATACTTTGTACTGAATTTCCTAGTAAAGTAGTTCGTGATTATATTCACTTGTTTGATTACTTGTACTCGTTAGAGGAGAAAATATATAGAAGTGGAATTAAATTTTAATAAAAATATGCTAATTATAGTACGTTACACAGTTCATCTATTTTTAAATACAATATATTACAGAGAAACACACAGTTATAATTTACTGTTATTAATATTATGTCTTACATTATGTAACTTATGATTATTATTATTATTGTTGTTGTTCTTGTTGCTGCTGCTTTTTTTGTTGTTGCTATATGCCAACCTTGATAAATATATAAGGTGGCATAAAAATTATGTAATGGGAGACTAATTGATATATTTTATTTTAGGACAAGTTTTATCCTCGCATAGTATGTATTAATCTCCAGTAGCTGTGCAACAGTAACTGTAATATTGGTAATAAATAGTTAACATAGGGATAAATATTATGCTACTGCGGCAGTGTGCTTCCTGGATTTTGGGTAAGGGGTGTTTTCTTTGTCTAATTATTAGAACTATGTTAACTAATATTCTACAAGACAGACCCCTTCCGCTATTCCAAACAATGTAGCTACTTAATAAAGATTTCATCAATATTCAGCGTTTTATATTCGAATTTTTATTGTTCTTTTTTATCAATTTCCGCGGACAAGGGTTATGTGCAAATTTCAATTTCTTTCATTAACACAGCTATATCTATATGCCCGATCTGATATTTCCTAGAATGGTACTTTAAGTAGAGCAATATAAGTTACAACAAAATTGGAAGTGTAACACGTGCAGGTAAAACTATCTAGAAAGAATGAGTACAAAATCTGTTCCATCTGATGCATGTCAATAGTAGAAATTGTGTACCTTAATTTACATCTCACACATACACTTTGGCAAGAGCATCGGCCCCTGCGCTCGCTATAAAAGGTCGCGATGGATGAAATGCTACGTCTAAAATACTTTCGTCAAACTTCTTACGGTGTGCTGTTATCTCCTGAACACAAGTCTTATTATCCATATTCCATAATCTTATACTGCAATCGTGACCTGCAAGCCAAAATGAATGGAATTTATGAAATATAGGATACGTTGATAATCGATCGAGACTTGTTTTCCTCAATCATTAATCGTTAGTTGCATTAAATATACTCCAACTTCGATTTTCTTGCACATTGAACTATTACTCACTTCCTGAAAGTAAATATAAACCATGAGGATCTACAGCAAGACTAGTGACTGCATCCAAATGAGCAACCATGGCATGAGCAAGAGTAGCTGATCGATGATCATAAAATCTAATATGTCGATCTTCGTGTGCAGCAACGACTAACGGTAATGTTGGATGGGCCACAACACGGTTAAAACCCTTTGTTTCATTGGCTTCGAGACGAGCTACGCTTTCGCCAGTTTCTGTATCAAACACCACACACGCTCCCTCATAAGCTACAACTAATTTATGCGGCTCATCTCTTATGAAATCTACTGAAGTCGGTATGCCATCTACAACGAGATATGTGTATGTATAATTTTGTAAAATATCATGTTTGATTTCGATGAAAACAGTAAATTTTTACATTAACAAGGATACCCTACCTTGCTCAGAGACATATGTATGAAGTAAGGGAGATTTGCTTTGTGGACTCCACAATTTGACAGTTCCATCGGCGCTAATCGATAACAATTGCGATCGTGGTTGATACATACTTAAACCCCAAACTGCATTTGTATGTCCCTTTAATGTTTGGCTAAGGACACTTGGTTCATAGGAATCATATGGATCTATGTTAGCCGATGGTAGTGTCCAACAATGAATCATACCGTCTAAACCACCACTATAACATTGATTTCCTGTGCTACACATAGCTAAACATAGGACTGGACCAGTGTGCGATCTAAATGTATATAGTGGTTCGACATCTAATGAAGCTGATCTGTAATCCAAAAAATAGAATTTAGATCATCCGGATATCATTGTAAAATAAAATTCACATTAAATTTTAGGTATTATACTTCTTTGCAGGTAAAGTCTTATGAAGATTCCATAATTTCAGGGTATGGTCATCGCTTGCGGTTATAAGAACAGCTTCTGTGGGGTGGAAGACGAGTGCTCGAACAGCATCGAAATGAGATCGCAACGTATATTTTGCGTTCCAAGTTTTTCTGAAAGTTTCCTTCGTTGCAGCTACCATCTACGTAAATAAACACTTGATGTTAAATCTTAATATAAGTATAAGGAATATTTTTCGCGTGTACGTGTATAAATTACAACAGAAACAAAGGTAAATAACATAGCTCACATCGTATGATGTTTCTGGATCATTGTTAACACACAATAGTTCTAATTCCCCCAATTCCAATGTGGAATCTCCTTCTTTATTTGGACACCTTAGATCAGGTTGTAAACCTTTATGTATTGCGTCTGTGAAGATTATTATGATATTTTTAGTAATACATCTATTAAATTAAAGTTGTATAATCAAATTACAAACGACGTTGCAGCTAAAAGGTCAAGAAGTTACGATTACTAATATGTGTACCTAAATGAACAGAACCGGCTGGTGATTCTTCAATTTCTGTGAGAAGGTTTAATTCATTTAATACTTCTTCAGCCTCGGCATCGACATCTTCATTTAAAAGCATAGATGACTGAAAATAAGTACAATATTTTATCAAAACTATTAATATTTCATCAAAAAACACAATAAAATAAGAAACCTTTATTACTTTATTTGTTTTGAGGGCAATGTTTGTATCATAAGAATCATCCTCTACATCTCCCTCTTCTTCTTCTATGTCCATCTCTTGCCGAGCCAGAAGCTCAAATTTTTCCATAAAAGCTGCTTCAGTATCTATCATTATTTCTTCTGTCTGTTTATATAAAAAAATAAATAATCTTACTACTTTTTGTACCTTTTGTAACTTATATTAATTGTGATATATTAATAATGATATATTATTTACCTCATCTTTTGGTTTTGGAAAGTTGCGGATACAAGTTTCCATTCGATATTCTTTATTTGATGGTTTAGATACATTCTTATCATTTAATGCAGGAGGATTCATATCTTCTGAGTCTGTATTATTATTTAAGCCAAGTAAAGATCTTACTCTGTTTGATCGTACATCTATTATTGTATCAGTGTAACCAATCTCTTGTAAATATCTAAAATAACAATTCCATTGTAGATTCTTAGCAGTAATAAAGTTGGTACTATTTGTTAAACAGAATATTTTTAAATGTCATTCACTTACTGTCTCAAAATTTGGCGACCTTGTTTCCAACTAATGTTGCTGACTGAAGTAAATGGAGCTTCTCCATCACCATCTCCTCCAACTTCTGAGTTAACACAAGTACTACTACCTTCTTCATAAACAGGAGGCTTTACATCTCCTTGAGTCACCAGATCAGTTCCATATTTCAGCTTATGATACCTTGCTCTGCAAAAGAAATGACAGATGTCTGTATAGTTAGAATTAATATGACGAAGATATCGTAATGAATATATGTAAAAAAATATCTCACCTTTCTTGTTTCAATGCGTATTCTAACATTTTTATTCTTCTTACTAAGTCATTTTTTAATTTTTCCTGTCCTTTTCTTTCACCTTTTAAAAAAGCTATTCTAGCCTATGAATAAATATTCCTAAATTAGGATACTTTGTATAAACATATATTAAAAATAATAATGTTTAACATTGTATCACCTAATTGAGATAAAAAAAGTAAAACTATATACAAAGTGCTTTAAAACATATGTTCATAACTTCAGAAGTGGATTCAATATGCTAGAATAAGCAAAAAAATTCATATAAACATATGCNACCTTTTAAAAAAGCTATTCTAGCCTATGAATAAATATTCCTAAATTAGGATACTTTGTATAAACATATATTAAAAATAATAATGTTTAACATTGTATCACCTAATTGAGATAAAAAAAGTAAAACTATATACAAAGTGCTTTAAAACATATGTTCATAACTTCAGAAGTGGATTCAATATGCTAGAATAAGCAAAAAAATTCATATAAACATATGC